GGGTCATCCCATTGGAGCTTGTGCAGCCACAGCTCCTGCAAGAGAATTTTGGCCTTGATCACTACGGGTGATGCAAAGCCAAGTGGATCGAATATCTGAGCCACTTCAGATAAAACGAGGCGTTTTGTGAGCCTGCCTTCCTTGCGTGAGCTTCGCGTTGAGAATGCAAATGTATCTTCATGAGGGAGCCATTTGAGTCCGAGTATCTTGGTTACGCAGTCGTCGAATGTGATTGGTAAGCCTTGGTCTTCGCTGTCGGTGACAGTCTTGAGTATGTTGAGATGAGTAGCATGCCATTTTGCTAGTGGGAAGCCGCCCGCCATGCAGAGGCCCTTTAGTTGATGTGCAACCTCCTGCAATTGTTGAATCGTATCTGCACCACCAAATATGTCATCGACATACCTGCCATGAGTGATGGATGGCACAGCCAGTGGATATTTATGTCCTTCGTCCTCTGCTAGTTGTAACAGCGTCCTAACGGCCAAGAACGGCGCGGCCTTTGTCCCGTAGGTGACGGTTGTCAGATGATATGGCACTTCATTGAGTTGGTCGTCCATCCAGAGTATCCGTTGCAACTCCCAGTCATCCTTGTGAATTTTGATCTGCCTGTACATCTTGGTGATGTCCGTAGCGAAAATGTGACGGTGTCTTCGTATCCAGAGGAGAACATCTGAGATATTCAGATGCAATTTCGCTCCAGTATACATGAGGTCGTTAGCAGAGTAGCCCGATGTTGATGCGCTGGAGCCATTGAATACGACTCGCAGTTTTGTCGTTGTACTGTCAGGCTTGAGAACACCGTGATGTGGCAGGTAGAAGTGTGAGCGACGACTGGAGATGGATGATGCCTTCGTCATGTGGTTGAGTGTCTCGTAATCCATCATAAATTGTTGATAGAGACGTTGATAGTTCACATCCCTCGAGAATCGTTTGCGTAGTCCCTTGAGGCACTGATGGGCGACGTGGTACGAATCACCCAGAAGATATACTGGTGATTTGAGTGGAATCCTGACGACGTACCTTCCTGATGAGTCACGAGAGTGTGTAGCCTTGAAGTGCTCTTCGCACCTCTGCTCGTCAGGAGTGAGTTGGTTGACATCGTGAGTAGGCACCTCCTCTTGAACCCAGAATTTTGTCAGTAACTCGTTGAGATCATCCTCGTTGACTTGAGTAGAAGCATGGTGCGTTGATGTGCGTGTTGCTTCCCTCTTGACTGGTCCCAGAACGAGCCATCCGAAAATGGAGAGTTGTGCTATCGGCATGAGTGGAGAATGCCTTATGACATTGGACTTGATGATTTGCCCGTAAGCGCCGATGAGGATGTCAACTGGCCGTGGAATGAGAAAGTCAGGATCGGCTAATGCCAAGTTCCTGAGATGCGGCCATTCTTCCGGTTCCGCCTCGAACGATGGTAAGATTGATGTAACTGTCCGGAGGACATGAGCTTGAATTGTGGCAGCTGCGTTGGAATGTGTCGAGCGTAACGTGAGTGACACGACTCCTCGTGTCCGAGTACACTCCTTGCCTGCAATTCCAGTGATGACAATACCTGAGTATTGACGAGGGATGTTGAGCTGCCGAATGAGATTCTCCGAGACGAAGGTGAGCTCGGATCCTGTGTCAATGAGCAGACGTACTGAGTGCTGCGTGATCGATGAGCTAATCACTGCTAAGGCTGTGGCGAGTAGAGTTGAGTAGGATGAGTGGACGTTTGAGCTGGCTTCGACGACTGCACCGTCCTCTTATGTGGTGGGCGTGCCCGACGAGCTGCTAGGCTTTTGAGCGGTCGGTGTTGTTGCAGATGCATTGTGGAGCATCGTATGATGCCGCTGAGAGCACTTCTTGCACCCCCGCTGGGACTTGCATGCTCGCACGCTGTGGCGTCCCAGACAATTGAAGCACAACCGCTTCTGTATCGCCACTGTGTGCCGCTCGGATGGTGGTAGCGCCCGGAATTTGCTGCACATCACGATGAAATGGGGAGCGTTGCAGCAGTCGCACGGGTACGACGTGTCGCCCTGGTGAGTTGCCTGATGAGCCACCTGCTGAGCTGCCGACTTCCTGGATGGTGAGGAGGCTGTACTGGGACCGGGGTGAGCGGTCGTACTCTCGATCCGTTCGAGAGCCCTGATCCGTGTCGTCAGAAACTCGTCAAGCCTCTCGAACGTGGGGTAGTCTCGCGTGGCTCCGACCGAGTTCTCTCACTGCTCGCGCGTCACGCGATCTAGGAGTCGCGTGGCGTGGTATACCACTGCGCAATCCCCGAGCTGATCCTTAACGTCGAGGGCCTCCAGTCCCTTGAGCGCCTCCCTGAATCCCGAGACATGTCGATCCAATGCCGCCGCCTTCCGTGGCACCGGGGTTGAGCTGGCGAACAATTTATCCAGGCAGGCATGGATGAGCAGACGCTTGTTCTCGTATCGGTCCTTG